CGCCCTCGTTTTTAATTTTAATTCAATTCGCGTATTTATTTCGTTTTCTTTTAATTGTTTATGTACCTCTCCCAAAGCCATGTAATTTCATAAATCTTTCGCACTTTACTCTTCATTATTTCTTTATTTTTCTGTCAAATCGAGTCCTGGAAATTTCGGCGATGTGGACCCGCGCCTTTTGTAATAGTTTAGAATTTTACCTTTTCTCGCTCTTTTAATTGTTAAATAAATGCATGCAAGAATGAATGGCCTAAAATAAAAACAAACGCATAGATCACTTTGACAAAAGACAAAAATAAATGAAAACGACACACAAATCACACACCACCCCTAGGGTACGCCTCACTGTTGCCTTGCCTCGAAAGGTGATCGTCGAGTAGAGGATGTCTTAGTAAGTCCTCATGATCCGGGAACCTGGCATGAGGGTAGCTTCTAAGGTGTCTTCCCATTGCTCTGGTGATCACCATGTCCCGAACCTCGAATTGACCCGAACACCTCCAACGGTGGTGCTACCTACCTCTCAATGGTGGGATGGCACTACTTTAAGGACATTTACACAGACGAATTCCTTAGGGTAGGTAGACGACTCTAGATACTTGCTCTAATTTCAAAAACAAATCAAAAATACTTTTCACACCGACACCTTTTCAAAAAGCTTTCGAAAGCAACTTTTCAAACACTCTTGAGGACCGATACAAGAGTCGAACTGGAATTTTCAAAGAAACTTTTTAAAATCCACAATTGAAAAGCAAACAAACCATTTTTGAAAACACAAGTGAGCAAGTATCTAAGAGCCCATGGATAACCATGGATAGAAAGGGTGCTAACACCTTCCCTTTCTATAACCTACCTCCCGAACCGAGAGCAATCTCTTTAAGGAATTTTTCTGTGCTTTTGTCCTTTCCATTTGGAAAAAATAAAAGACGGTGGCGACTCTTGCTTCCGCGACATTTCGCGAACCAGCGTTAAACAGTCAGTTCCAGATCCACCGATCACATTTACCATCATCCCTCCAGAAGGCATCTATAATCCCATTACCATTTCATCTTCAAGTGCAAATTTCTGGGCACTCTAGTGTTCAACCATCTTCTACCTTTAGGTCATGAATGGCGGATCCGCCAATCTAACTCTTCAGGTTTAAGAAGATTGAACAGGGGCAGCTGTTGTACCCCAAAATTTGCCCTATCATTTCCCAAAGGATCATCCAGAACTCTCAGGTTTGCTCCTATCAGGTCCCAAGTCTTGAATTACAACTTTTCAAGAAAGTTGTCCACAAGGGAAAAATGGTCATTTTCACGCTAAAAAAAGTCAAACTTTGGCTTTTTGACCAAAACCAAGTTTCAAGAATCATATCTCATCAAGACATGTTGAAATATGAAGTTTGTTTCATCAAGAAAATCAAAAGTCATTTTATTAAGGGAAGAATCAAAATTTTAAATACTTAGAACTTTTCTAAGTGTTTAAGAAGCATGACAAAACTCAGAACTTCTGGCCAGATTTTCACCTTGATGCAAGTTGATTCTGGATCAGCCTCTGACATAAGAGTTATAGACCCCCACAAGATCTAGAATGTTGTTGAACAAAGCTTCTCCTAGAAACATTGGAATTTCAAGTTATAACTCCTCAGAGACACGTCCTTGAAACTGAAATACTCAGCAAATTCTGGACACTTTCAACACGGAGTTTGGTCAAAACTTCTGAGCAAGTTTGCACGAAGCCTCAGCCAGAGTCTGCAAGGGTAAATCAAATAAGTTTATAAATCATGATATAAAGCTTCCTAGAAAGTCTGAAAGCTCCTTCAGAACATGTTAGAGCCAGAAGATAAGAAGATCAGAAGTTGGATGTTTATTCTAGGTTACGTTGAAATAAAACTTCTGATTCAGAATTAAGCAATGATGCAAAATCTCACATTATAGGATTTCTGATTTTTTGACAAATCTCATCATCATTTAATGCTCACAACCACTTTTGAGTCTTTATCCAAAGGATCTCCCCACGTGTGGCATAGAAATACCCTTGTTATCCTTAAAAGCAACTTTTGTATAGGAATATGGGAGGGTCCGTATGTTACTTTTTTGCTTGAGGGATTACTTTTCCTTAATCCCTACTGGCTAATCCAGTATAGGCTAAAAAACTGTCAACTATCACACCTTTTTTTGAACTTGCTTCAAGAACAAGTCAGCATCTAGCGTATGATGTTGGCGCTATTGGACCTCTCAAAAACTACAAAATCTTTGCCTATAAATAGAACACCTTTGGCCATTGAAATAGGTCGAAAAATTTGAGAAAGAAAAGCCTTGAACCCCTGCCAAACTCCCAAGAGTTCCAAGAACTGTAAACATAACACACAAGACCTGCTAACTTTTGATTCCTTGCATTCAAACTCCATTTGTTCCCAAATATTTCTTGACTAAAACCATCCACATGGTTTCTGATTCACATATTAGAAACTACCCTAACTCCTGTATTCATACTACCTCACATTCTTCATCCATCTACTCAAAGAAATCAGAACATCACCTCTTTGCTGTACCAGAAGTTGAGAACCTCCATCCTGCTGAGTACGTGAAGAAGTTGCTCAGAACCTCACCAGAATTCAGGATCAACCTCTATTCCATATAATCTTTTCAGCTGCAAGGTAAACTTCTGCTGACTCTTATCATGTTACTTAAAGCATTACCAGATTTACATGCTCAAAAATATAATGTAGATATCATGTTTCTGATGATGTATATATTCTAAGATTTCATGCATCTGCCTGCCTAAGTAGGGAATAAATCAGTTCAGAACTTCTTAAAGAAATTAGAACTCAGAATTAGGGTCTGCAAATTCATACTTGCTTCTGATTTATAGTTATGATATTTCTTATTTCTGAAACACTATGACACTGGCTATAACTATCCTATGCATATCTTCTGTTTTGTGGAGAAATGACCAAGTTGCAGATGTTCTGACTAGCATAGAGAGAGAGAGACTAAGCTCCACCAGTGGTATCAGAACTTCTGGAGTCTGTTTTGATGCCAATAGTATCAGAACTTCTGGAAACTATTGCGTTCCCAGTGGGCTCAGAACTTATTACTTTACATATTTTCACTAACAAGATTTCTATTTTGCAGTATGCCAGAGTCAGAACTTCTGACCTCATTTAATCAGCAATACGCTGATTCTTTTTTCCTTTTCTCATTATTTTTTACTATCAATTTCTTTTCCATTAATCAGCAAACATCAAAAACATTTCTTTCACACTTTATTTTATTTCTTAAAAAAAAACAAAAGATCGAAAGTATTTTCTTAAAATAAAACAAGTTCATTTCATATTTTCTTGTACATCCTTATACATTTCAATATGGTTGTAATAGTAACTTAGGACGTATTTTCACTTGTAAATCCCCATTTGTAAATATGTACCACCATCCCCTAAATATTGTAATAGCGTAGGACTTTAAATTTTTGCATTTTTATTACTTTCATATATTGTTAGTAATTGGATTGCGTATGGCAAGATAAAATCAACAAGTAGACCACTAAAAATCAAAGACAAATGTATGCAATCAAACACACTTGCACACATGCACCCCTAGGGTAATATCACTTGTGGCCTGTCAGAAAATAGTCATGTCCCTAGAAACATGGGCGTTTTAGCAAAGGCCCTCGATAAAAGATCGTAGTCCCTCGATGACCCTCGATGCTGCCTTTGGTAAACGATCTAGTCCCTAAAACGACATTGCTAAAATGTTCCATGAGTTGCCTTCTATGACTATTCAAACGTCCCAACACCCGTCCCTTCACATCCAATGATATGGCTTCTTACCAAATCAATGGTAAGATAGCAACATCTAAAGGAAGAGGAAAAGCACATCTAAGACCTTTTGAGTAGTTAGATTCTTTTTAGATACTTGCTCAATTTCGAAATAAACATCCTTGCTATTTTCAAAACAAACACCTACACTTTCAAAACATCTTACAAACTTGAAAATATTTTCAAAAGATCAAACACTTTGTATACATTCTTACGAACGAGAATCATTACAAAGTTTGCCTAAACAATGACCTCTTTACAAAACACTTTCAAAAACCACACCAAGCACAATTTTCAAACAAAAAGCAAGTGATCTAGCAAGTAAATAATATCCCATGGAAAACCATGGATGAAAAGGGTGCTAATACCTTCCCTTTTCATAATCTACCCCCCGAACTCAAGAAGTAATCTCAAAGGTCTTTCCTGTGCTTTTTCACCTTTCCTTTTGGATAAAAGAAAAGTTGGTGGCGACTCTTGCTAACCGAAACATTTGCGATCAAACGCAAAACACCTCAAGTCAGTTCTCCCACCGTATCACACCAGGTTCTTCAATTAACCCTGAAATCTATGTGTTGTTGATTTTACAAGTTCAATGCTGATTTATCTCACTGCTTAACTTCATAACATCTTCATATATATATATATATATATATATATATGTGTGTGTGTGTGTGTGTGTGTGTGTGTGTGTGTGTGTGTGTGTGTGTGTGTGTGTGTGTGTGTGTGTGTGTGTGTGTGTGTCTTGATGCTATTTAAAATAGCAATACTTCTAAGCCTACAACAACCATCAAGTTGAACATACAACAAATCAGATACAACAGTTAATGATTATTGCATTAACCGATTACGCGTGGATCAGTAGTACTTACAACTCTTCAAACTATGTGCTGTGATCATATCTCTAGAGGTTATACACTCAAGCAAGCCTTATCACTGTCACTACTAGTAATGATGCAACGCTAAAGTAAACCTCTTTTACGCTCTTATCCATTTTTTGTATCATATCTTCATCTTTCAATCAATTCTTTCCAGTATTCTTGCTTATGTTAACAATTGATTCCTCAGTTTATTTACTCCACAAGAAAGCCAAACTAGCCAAAAACCCAACCCTGTGTTGAAGACCTTAGATGCACAAAAAGGGCTCCCTTTTTAAGCTAGTTTTCAAATCATATATAGCACAACAACAAGGCCAGTACCAATAATGTCGGCAAAAAATTGGGTGAGGAGTTCAGGAAGCTCTGGGCCAGATTTCTTCAATGAAATAATTGTTGTTTCCCGAATTTTCGAGAAGAAAAAACTGGACATTGTAAGTTATTTCTCTATGGTACCTTACCTATTGAATGCAAACTAGACATGAAATTGGCTATTTGATAAACCATAAAAGAACTTTTTGGTTCTAACTTCTAAGGCTAATAGTTCAAAGATCTTAACATTTTCACAGGCAGACTCAAAATTTGTGGAAGTATTAGCATTCATGTATCTATCATGTTTACATATAAGTATATGTCATTTCATTTTTATAGCAGCAATTGAGTCATAATTTTTGCAGTGCTACAAAGCTATTTGCTAATAAAGTTTAATTCCCTTCTGCAAGCTTTGTTTATCAAAGAGCACAATGCGGTATGTGACATGCTAAAAGTAACTCAAATTCTTTTCATTTGTTACATGACTTGGCTCCATTTATGATCATTTTTTACATCGAAAAATAATGTGACCGATATTATTTTTCGTTTCTTACAGAAACACTATCCTGATTTTGATGATGAGCAACTCTATAGGTATGCAAGATTGGTGACTTCAGCAGTCATTACAAAAATCCATACAATTGATTGGACTGTAGAGCTCTTAAAAGCTGATACTCTCTATAATATATTTAACTTATAGTCCTCTTACTGAAATTCAGTCTCATGCTATGATTGCTAGAGGAATTATGTGAATTTTTTATTGATTTGTAAGTCTTACGGAATTGCATTTTATTTGCTTTTCCTAAGTTTATTTATTTTGGTACTAATATTTTTACTCTTTGAACTAACTTTGTTAGTTAATCAAACATTCGAGATTTATCTCACATAAGCCCGATGCTGGAAGTTGATCGTGCTGCACATGATGTTGATAGTTTTAAAAAAGGTCTAGGATTTCTTATATCGGGTATTACGTGTCTTTTATCGTTCAAATAATCACTATTTTATTAATATTGTGTTCTTCTGTACTGAGTTAAAGTACATAACCATCTGAAATGAAACGGTTTTCTATGTACTATGTTTGGTGACCCTATGATGAGCCTAGCTCTGAGGGCTTTGGTTGGTTTGAATGCTTTGTGCCTTTTGTTTTTTGGTATAGGCTTGTTGGGTTTTACAGGCTACACAGGGCGTTGAGTTTATAGATAGCAGGCTTTGTTTGTAAAGGCTTTTTTCTGGCTTCAAGGCTTCAAGGTTTGAAGGCTGTTAGGTTAGAGACTGGTTATAGGCTTTTGCTTGTTATTTGGACTGTGTTGAAACAGGTTAGCAGGTTTGTTGATGGCTTGTGTAGAGGTTTATCAGTATAGGCAGGCTTCAGGCTTGTATGTTGGTTTTGATTTATGAGTTCAGTATGTATGGCCTTGAGGGTTTGAACATGTTTGTAGGCAGGTTGATGGCTTCATGTTTGATGCAGGTTTAGGCTTGAGCAGTTTGATGGCTTCATGTTTGGTGCAGGTTTAGGCTTTTGTTCGTTTAAGCTTGTGTTTCTGGTTTGTTTGGGAACACAGGTTTGGAGGGTTTCATTTGGTTTTGGAGGCAGGCCATTATTGGTGTTCTATAACAGTTTGTGTTATTTTTTGTTATATGATATTCTGCCTCCTCTTACTGTGTTCAGATATGTTTGTTTATATCTTTTTCTAAGCCTCAAGCCTGTAAGCCTCTACTTCTTTTTCTCTTTTTCCTCTCTCTCCACAGATTTTAAAAAGCATTTTTATTGCTTTAGATGTATTATTCTGAAAAAGTACTGGCCTTGGAAAGTGATGATAATTTGAATATGTTTGCATTGTCCCTTTCCTCTGTGTACTTTCAAGATTTCCTGCATATCTTGTGTACTTTGTTGACAGCTTTTGTACCTTTTTTTTGGACAGTTCTGCACTTGAACAGTTTAGTTGATATTCAGTTTTCCTTTTGGACTTGGTTAGGCATTATGGACTTTATAGTTTGTACATGCTGTTTGTTTTGAAACTGTGCAGCTTGTTGACAATTTGAATTTGTGCAATTTGTTTCTTTGTCATTATGCAGCCTTGTGCATTTCCATATTTTTGCAAGCATATTTCTATCCTTCTTTGTGAACCAAGAGTAATTCTTGTGATTTGCAGAGAGGGTGAACAACTGATTCCGGCCAGTTACTTTTAATGATGAATTTTAAATTAACTGTCTGCTTTTTTCTTTATTTTTCATCTGTATTGACTTCTTTTCCTTTTCTTTTTTCAGGTAAAATCAATTGAGCAATGGGGAGCAGTAGAAGATGAAGATTTAGAAAACTTAGGATATAGCTTTATTTTACCTTTAATTATTTGTAATAACATTATTTGTAAATACTGTAAATGTATTCAAATAACATTTGTACTCAATAATTAAAAGTAAATAAATGTTTAATCCTTTTTAATTCTTCTTCAAATGTTTATTTAATTATTTATAATTCTTAAATTATAATAAATGGAAATAAATCCCAATTATTCTAACTTAGAATAAATAATTAATTAATAAACACTGTAGTCTTGCAATCAATAATAAACCCGGCGTCCCAATTAACCATAGCAATGCACAGTCAATCACAACAAATGTCCACATGCTTATCTCTTTACTGATTAAATCAAACACTGCAAACTCTCAATCAACAGCCTCAATCCATATCTCAGAGTAAATTGAAAAGAACTGTAGAATTAATTCTTTCTGAGAATGCGCGCACAAAACCCTGATTCGTGATTTAATTTTCACAGTAGCGCCTGCCTGATCAAACTTTAAGCCAAACTCAACCAAACCCTAATAATCTGCTTGAACTGTTCCAGAGCCATGAAAATCCTAATTTGGATAGACTGATAAGAAAACGTCTGTTTGACTGATTCTTACGCCAATATGACAAATCAGGAAAAGCCCGAAGCTGTGATTTCTTGTGGAAAAATAGGAGGGCAAATTTTGGGGTACAACAGTTGCCCCTGTTCAATCTTCTTGAACCTGAAGAGTTAGATTGGCAAGCTTGCCTTTCACGACTCGAGGGTAAAAGGAGATTGGACACTATAGTGCCCAAAAAATTTGCACTCGGTGATGTGATGATAGAAGGAATGGGCTTACAGATGCCATTTGGTGATGGGCTTAGAGATGCCATCTAGGGATGTGACAGAATCTTGTCGGGGGATGGGCTTAGAGATGCCATCTGGAATTTGTTGGTATGAGGATGGGCTTAGAGATGCCATATGGAAATGTTTGTTGAACTGTATGTCATTGGTGAGTGGATGAGCGTCAGAAAGGTATCCATGTTTTGGAACATCTCTGAACTGGGGGTCTGAATAAGCAATAGATTGACATCCATGTTTGGAGAATCCGTAAACTGTTTTCAGAAGTTGAGAAGAATCTGAACAAGCGATAGGTTAACATCCGTTACTGGAGAACCCGTGAACTGTTTTCAGAAGTCTTGAAGTTGAATAAGCAATAGAGCATCATCCGTTGTTGGGAAGCGTCCGTAAATTGTTTTCAAAAGTTGAGTCTGAACAAGTGATAGATTAACATCCGTTGTTGGGAAGAATCCGTAAACTGTTTTCAAAAGTTGAGTCTGAACAAGCGATAGATTAACATCCGTTGTTGGGAAGAATCCGTAAACTGTTTTCAGAGGTTGAAGAATCTGAACAAGCGATAGGTTAACATCCGTTGCTGGGAAGAATCCGTAAACTGTTTTCAAAAGTTGAGTCTGAACAAGCAATAGATTAACATCCGTTGTTGGGAAGAATCTGTAAACTGTTTTCAGAGGTTGAAGAATCTGAACAAGCGATAGGTTAACATCCGTTATTGGAGAACCCGTGAACTGTTTTCAGAAGTCTTGAAATGAGAAGGAACCGGTGTAGGGTTTCCTGATGATGAGTCCGTGTAAAACTGCATCTGAGTGAATCTAGAATAAGTACCAGAATGTCGCCATGTCTGGGTCACATCTGAACTATCTCTGGGTGAATCTGGAACAAGTATCAGAATGTCGCCGTGTCTGGGTCACATATGAACTATTTCTAGAAAGAATCTCGGAAGATGATGATCTTTGTCTGTTGACTGATCTTTCTTGAAAAGGTAAAGAGTTAGTTATATGCAATGTCATGATGCATGATGCAATGTATGTTATATCAATGTTTATGATATGAATGTGATGAATGCGCATGTAAGCTGATGAGCTGTCTTGCTGAGGATAGATGAATCCTGGATGGATGGAGATAAAAGAATCTTGACTGCCGCCAGGGAAAGTAATTCCTTGACTGCTGCAGGGGGTTGCAAGAATCTCTTGATCGTTGAAAATGAGAAATCCTGGGACCGCTGTTGGGGAATCAAGAGCCTGGGTTGTATGCCAATCTACTGGGGATTCCTGTCTTGAGAAGATCTTCACTGGGGAATATTTGAATATCCTGTGAGGAACTGAGGATGAGAGTCTTCATCCTGCTTGGGGGATTGATAGTTGGAAGTTTTAGCTCCGCTGGGGATTGCAAGAATCTTTTGATTGCTGCAGGCATTGATCTGGGATCCTGTGTAAGGTTTTTGATGATGAGTCCGTGGTGAAACTGTATCTGAGATTTGAGAAGGAACCGGTGTAGGGTTGCTTCGTGATGAGTCCGTGTAAAATTGTATCTGGGATTTGAGATTTGTATGAGTAGAAGAATGACTTCCGTGTCTGGAGTGTATCTGAAACTGTAACTATGATCTGAATGAGTGACAGAATGACTACCGTGTCTGGAGCGTATCTGAAACTGTATCTTGGAATTGAGATCTGTATGAGTAGCAGAATGACTTTCGTGTCTGGAGTGTATCTGAAATTGTAACTAGGATCTGAATGAGTGACAAAATGGATATCGTGTCTGGAGCGTATCTGAAACTGTATCTTGGTATTAAGATCTGTATGAGTATCAGAATGACTTCAGTGTCTGGAGTGTATCTGAAACTGTAACTAGGATCTGAATGAGTGACAGAATGGCTATCGTGTTTGGAGCGTATCTGAAACTGTATCTTGGAGTTGAGATCTGTATGAGTAGCAGAATGACTTCCGTGTCTGGAGTGTATCTGAAACTGTAACTAAGATCTGAATGAGTGACAGAATGGCTACCGTGTTTGGAGCGTATCTGAAACTGTATCTTGGAGTTGAGATCTGTATGAGTAGCAGAATGACTTCCGTGTCTGAAGTGTATCTGAAACTGTAACTAGGATCTGAATGAGTGACAAAATGGCTACCGTGTCTGGAGCGTATCTGAAACTGTATCTTAGAGTTGAGATCTATATGAGTAGCAGAATGACTTCCGTGTCTGGAGTGTATCTGAAACTGTAACTAGGATCTGAATGAGTGACAGAATGGCTACCGTGTCTAGAGCGTATCTGAAATTATATCTTGGAGTTGAGATCTGTATGAGTAGCAGAATGACTACCGTGTCTGGAGCGTATCTGAAACTGTAACTAGGATCTGAATGAGTGACAGAATGGCTACCGTGTCTGGAGCGTATCTGAAACTGTATCTTCCAACAGGTGGTGAAGGAATTGTTGAACACTTTTGACATTCGAATGCCCCAAGTGATGATGAAGGAGTCTTGAATCAGGTTACTCTGCAAATTGAGAGATTTCTTGAAATCTTGACTGGACTGCCCCAGGTTAACTGAACTTTGAAAGATCTGTTGAAACCTTGACTGGACTGCCCCAGGTTAATTGGATGGTGACCTGTCATGCCCCTTGTTGATAGGAGATTTGTCAATGGAAGTGTCATCCTTCTTGAAGTGATTTTGCTCACTGAGAGAGTTTTCGTTCCTCCGAACATTCGCTGTATGAATTTCTTCGCTGTCAATCAAATAGCCAAATGCAAACAGTGATATTTAAGCAATGCAAAGTTTATGTTTGTCTCGAAGTTTTGAAAAATGCGTTTTTTAGTAGAAAACTTTTTTATAAGACAAAATCAACACAAGACTTAGAGCAAAGCCTTACAGGAGTCAGGATACCTTTTGTAACAGTATGCTTTCGAACTAACCCCTGCTTCAATTAGGACTTTTGAAGGGTTGTAACGTGGCCTGGTTCACGGTTTAAGAAACAAAGGATGAAGGCTCAAAGTATATTTGTACCCACCCGCTCTTCGTGATGTTCTTCAATCCTAAGCTCAGTTAATTGTGCGTCGAACTCCTTTCGAGTTTGGAACGACTTTTGGGTGGTGGTTCACCAGTTGAATTTGGAGGGCAGTCATCCTCTCCTTTTCTTTTGCAACACTTTTCATGTTGTTGAGGATTTGTAATGACCTCACTTTTTTTTTGATTTGTTATCCCTAACTTTTGCCTGACTGTTCCTGTTTTCGAGATTACAGTCAGCGGGATGCCCCAGCTTTCTTAAGCCTCCTTTATAGGTTTTGGCTTAGTGGGCCTTTCTTTTCTTTTGGGAGATTGACTGCCTATGAGATAGGGAACCATCACTGCCTTTTGATTCCAGAGGAATGCTTTTTTATGACGTCGTTCGTTGTATTACGAACTGAGAGTTTGCGACTTTAATGCGCAACTTTTTTTTT